GAAGGAAGGAAGGAAGGAAGGAAGGAAGGAAGGAAGGAAGGAAGGAATTGATTGGCTGCATAGGCACAAAACAAGAAGACTTGATTCTGGAGAATGTTTGCCATTCTCTATCTATGCAATTTCTGTGTGATATTCTGTAAGATATAAGAATTCTGCAAGATAACAGAATTAAAAAATATAGGCCATTGCTATGGACCTATAAGAACACATCTTGGATTTCATGTATCTTTTCTTCTTAAGGATTTCATTCTGAGTCAGTAAAAATCTTTTACTACCTGGAATGTAGCAATATGTAAATCAATTAACACTGTAATTACAGTATAAATTAACCTTTGCCTTATGTTGAAGTTCGGTTTTAGACACAAATACTTTCTTCTAAAATAATCCATATATTGTAGAAGGTTATAAAATTAGCTTCAGAAATATTTTCCTGATAATGAATATGAAAATATTAATTACATAACATGTTATTTTTTTTTGCCCAACATAGATTTATATATTTGAAAATAACATCTATTACCAGCCTGATGTAAAGAGCAGCTCTTTGAGATTGACATCTTCTGGGAAAGAAGGAATTGTTTTTAATGGAATTGCAGACTGGTTATATGAAGGTAAATTGAACAATAAAAATTGCTATATGAAGCTGAATGCTAAAGAGCTTATTATTTGAAGAGAAAAAAACATTATTGTGGGATAAACATTTTCAAGATTTCTTGGGAATGTGGTATCCCAGGTATATTTTACACTCTTAGGCTTCGGGAGATCAATACCAAAGTAAAGACATTTTTTTGCAGATGCTTCGTTTTTCCAGGGAAGCTTATTTAGTGCAATGGTTGAGAAATGAGGATTTTCTTACAATGAATTCTGAGGGATTAGATAGTAGTTTGATGTTTCCTTGGAAGCGCTGGTTGATTTTAAACAAAACATTGAGATGAATAAAGAGAACAAACTCCCATCCTTAACTTCCTCATAACTAAGTTGAATGATGATAACCTGCAAATCCAACTTTACAGAAAATCTATTCACAAAGAAAAACAAAACTTATACTACCATAAAAGGCATTCCAGAAAGCATAACATCAGCTGCATATGTACAATTGTCAATAGAGCAAAAACCAAAAACTACAGCTCATCAGCACCCTCACAATACGTGGACTCAGGAACTTGTGTCAATATGAACAATGATCCCACTCCAAATGTCCTTTAAAAGGCACTATGAATATAACATATGGAAATCCCGATTATGCATAATTTTTTTTTTACCTCAAGAGACATAACTTCCATGGGGAAGATAAGGGACATATTTTTAGTTAGTAGTCTATAAATCATTCTACTTTTTTCAGTGGAAGTGCAGCTAAATAATTTTAAAGTGTGAATTTCAGGGAAAAGTGAATTATTCCATTTAGTTTAAAATAAAGGACACCATCCTCTGTAGATTCTTTGCCCTTTCTTTTATGAAAGAACAGTTTCTAAGAGCAAAATGTTTAGATAAAACTGATGTATCAAATGTCTTTCCATGGAATTCTACTGGTAAATCTAATACAAAATGCTAATTTCGTGGGTTTAAGTATATATTTTTTCCTCAGAGGAGCTGCTTCATTCACACATTACTCACTGGTGGTCACCTGATGGAGAGAGGCTGGCGTTCCTTATGATAAATGACTCATTAGTACCAAATATGCTTATTCCTTGGTTTACTGGATCTTTGTATCCCAAAGGAAAACATTATCCATATCCAAAGGTAAGGAAATTGATTAATACTTTCTTTATTATTAATGTATGCTTTATTTAATTGCTCCCTTAACCACAATTACTGGAAGGAAACAGTCATTGGAGTTGAAGATAATAACTCTATTATGGTAGCTAAAAATAAAAGATTTAAGCATTTTTTTATTACTCAGATATAATTACAGACTTCCCAGTCCAAGGAGACTTATGTGGATGTTTTTGTGAATTAATGAACTAGTCTAGTCTTCTTTTTTTGTCACCTGTTCAATGTGAGAGCAGGATGAAGCACAAGATGAGTGGCAAACAAATTTAATAAATAAATAAATAAATAATAACATTAAATAAATAATCTATGTATATAAAAATGAAATAACGATCATGCATCACCACAAAACCTCCAGAATCGTAAAGCCTACTTAGAAATTTGGCACGTATGTTCCTCTTGAGTTCTAGATGCTCACTAAGAAAGGATTTTTTCGAAACAACCATCAGAGCATCAGTATTTCATATATTATTATTAACAGGCTCTGATGCTAAGGAGTTCTACTCCCCCTCCCCCACCTGAAAAGAAATCTGTTCCAAATGCAAAACACAAGCAGTGGGGAGGAGTTGCAATTTTAGTTTCACAGCACCAAGCAGCTTTACAGAACAGTTGAGCTAAGCCATGCCCAGGCTCCTTGCTGTCTCCTTTTTGCTCATACAGCAAATACTGCTCAGTTTCCAAACAGCCCTCTCACACACTGATAGGATGCTAACCAGATAAATACCGATGGATGCTGGTAGGCAGAAACAGAATTTATTCCCCCTTATTTTCCTCCCCAAAAACTAAGCTCGACCACATAGTTTCATAGCGAAGCATGGGTATCAAGCTAGTCAAATAAATAATTCCAGTTCTTCTCTCTGGTTAAGATTTAGCTGACTTTGGGCTGTTTACCTCTTCTATGTCAAATAACCACTGTAAGATGTAGAATATATTAACAATGCTTTACCTCCAGGCAAAGCTACCTTTTCCTATGCTATGTGCACCAGTTTGCAAAATATACCTAAAACCATATCAGACATAAAACCATCTGAGGTATGCTGTCATCGCATTTAGAATAGATTATTGCAATGAGCTTTTATCTAGGACTGCTTTTCTAGACTGCAGCAGGTGCGCAATAAGCAATTAGCTGGTAAGTAACAGCCACCATAATTATTTAACATCAGTGCTTTAGACCCTGCATTGGTTATCAGAAGGCTTCTCAGCACAATTCAAAGAGTCAGTTATTACTAATATATCCATTCATTTATTGTATTCCCTAGGGTGCATGATGGGAATATAATAAATTGAGCTTTTCAGCTGGAAAGCAGACAGCCCAGGTTTGAGACCCAAGTGTTGTGTGACAGGGTGAGCTCCCATTACTTTGCTCAGCTCCTGCCAATCCACAAGTTCAGAAGCATACAAATGAGAATAGCTAATGAATGCTGCCAATTTGTTTAGGGCTTTGATCAATTATTGGTTTTATAGTTGGTTTTATTGCTTTAACATGTTACCATACACTTCTAGAACTTTTGTTGGAGTGTGGCAGTCTACAGGAATAGTAAATAAATATCTCTTTTAAAAAGACATTAAAGAACCTGAGAATTGGACATGTAGTTTAGCATGGATTTAGGTCAGGATGAGTGATGTATGAACTTGTTAAATCAGTCTGTTTTCCCTCCCCCACTTGATTTCTTTTTTATTGTTGTTTTTACTTATTATTTTGGTCAGTGGGCAACATTAGAAATCGAGTAAATATATTTTAAAACGTAAATAATGTATTACTATGGACTAGGGTCTCTTTGACAATTATATTTATTACATTTAATTTTTTAAAAATATGAAATTGTGACTTAACAGCATATAAAATTAAATGTACATCACTGGATATTTTTCATATGTTTTTGCTAGGAGCAGAATTAATTTCTACAATTGTTATATTACTTTTCTTTAGCAATTTCAAATTGAACAATATCAAATGAAACACAACAAAGGATAAAATTTAAGATTCAATTAAACTTATGATAAAGAAATTATAAAAGTCTACTATAATTTATTACACAGTGAACAGATTTATATTGTTAATGAATTGTAACCTTTATTTATTTTTTCTGTTCATTTTAAATTCACCTTAATTATTAAGCAAATGATCTAATAATATGAACTAAGACTTTATGCCTTGCAATGTTTTACTTCACTAGGCAGGTTTAGTAGTATTTATGACTACTATTAGGCCAAGCTGGTGCATAGGAAACTTTTTATAATTATTTTTACTCCTTATAAAAGCATAATTTACAGTTATTTGTATTCATAAGGAAAAAAGGAAAATAAAATAAGTGTGCAGGAATGTAGGTCTTACTGTATATGCCAATTCATGACCATCATATTAGGATCACTCAATACTGTGTTGTAGAATATCAATGAGATATCTGTGTGACTTGTATTTAATTATTTCATTCAAATATCAACAATGCTGAACTGTTTTTATTTTTAAAAGGCAGGTGAATTGAATCCAGTAGTCAAGCTGTATGTTGTCAATCTATATGGCCCAACACATACATTGGAACTCATGCCACCAGACAGTTTTAAATCAAGGTAAGCTGATTAGAGGTTGATATTTAACCTACTATACTATATTCCAGGGAGCAGCTTGGTGTAGTGGTTAATGCAGTAAAAGAAAAGGAGATGGCAAATTTTAGTTCTGCCTTAGACATGAAGCCAATTGGGTGACCTTGGTGACCAGTCATTCTCTCACAGCCCCCAGAAAACAAAATGCCAAACAACTTCTGAAAATCTTGCCAAGAAAACTGCAAGAACCAATCCAGGCAATCACCATGAATCAACACTGTCTTGAAGGGCTACAAGCAGAAAAGTTAAATAAAGAAATGGGGGTGGAGGGTAACTCTACAGAAGACCAAGCCTTGCATATAAAGCTTGAACTGAGAAGACAGCAACAGATAGAAAATGTTGCCTCTACAAAGAAGCTGAAGGAACAGTGGACCAGCTAATTAGTTGTTGAAAGAAGACCACGCAGATTGACAACAAACAATGACACGACAAAGTAGCAACAATGGTCTTCAAGAAATATCTACTTGCCTGAAAGCAAGAACTAGTGGGATCACAAAATAGACAAGGTAATAGAAAATAAATAAGTTAAAGTTCTATGGGACTTTAGACTCCAAACAAACAAAAACCAGGCTTAACAACTATCAATAAGAAAGACAGAAAAAAAAAATTCTGGATAGCAGATGTTGCTACATGGAGACAGCAGAATAAAAGACAAAAAATGGGGGTGGGGGAATCACAAAATACAAACATCTGAAAATTAGAAATAGAATGTAGCAAATAAAACAAAGATAGTACCAATACTAATAAGGCACCTTATGTGCAATCCCAAAGCATCTGGAGGACCACTTGAAAACTGTCAATATTGACAAAATCCCCATCAGATTTACTTGGAACAGCTTACATCCTGCAACCAGTATTTTCAGCACCATCACAGTGATACCTGTCTGTTCCAGATGCTTAGGAAGGACCAGGTAGGTGGATAAAAGTGCCAAATCCAGACTAATCAACTGGCTAACTATAAAACAAACCATAATAATAATCCATTTTTTTAAAAAAAACATCTTATAGATTGGGTTTAGCTAATAGAATGAAACTGTTATTATAGAATATTTTAATAAAGTATTTGAAATGGTTTTCATAAAAGATATACAAAGAGAAGAAAATCATACAAGAGATGTATCTGTTCAGGCAGTCTGAAAGAGAAGTAGCACTATCTGATTAAATTTGACAACAATGAATGGAACAGATTAGAACATCAGAAAACTTCTCTAAATACCACATTCAAAGTCCAAACTCTATAATCACTAAGTTAAAGTTGCCTATAACTTTTCTCACTAAAAGAATGCTTGAGTCTGAAAACTGACCATTTATTTAAATGAACTGAATTTCAAATTAAAATTAAACAAAAGCATCGATGAAAGAAATACAAGATAGGGAAATTCTCTGGATTTCAAAGAGTTTAGAATGAACTTTTGTTGATTAGGATGGAGAATAAAATTTTAAAGATTTGTTCATAGAGAATGAGGTGAGATACAGGATGAAGATATTGTTTATTGTATTTTAAGAAATGGCAATTAAAGTTGTTCATATTCACCAGTATGGATTCTTTCTTTCTTTCTGTTCCCTTTTTTCTTTGCACATTCGATTTTTATCTTTTCATTTTTGTAGTTTGTATTACTTTGATGTGTATATGTCATTTTCAATAAAATTACGGTATTATAAAAATGATTTTTTAAAAAATTAGATCTTAATACATGCAAATGTGTAGATTATACAGGGGTGAGTTCTAAATCATCAAATTCAAAATACATTATATCCTATAGTGAATTTCCCAAGCAGTATGCAAAAAGAACAAATATTACATATCTAAGTAGATAACAGGTCTTTTTTGTTTTTAATCGTGGGTTTGTGCAAGCTTATTTTAAAAAATCATGTATTTGATACATTTTGTTTGAGTTGCAAATGGTTTTAAGCAATCATCCGGCTGTCATATCATAAAGCCTGAGTGTGTGCATCCCGGGAAAATCAATTTTAATTTTATCTATGAAAGTACTGTATAATGCCCTAGTTACAGAAAATTGGAATTGGACATGATAAACGAAAAGCATGTTGAAAAATGTTTTAAAAATTCAAGGCATAGGCTATATTTTCTCTTTCTTTTACCCACTCCAGAACAAATTGAGGTCTGTTGACCCTTTATTGTATACACATTGAAAGAAGTCCATAGTCCGCAGCAATATATTTCTGATATGCTTGATGTTTTTTACTATTTTTGTTCAGATGACACAATGTCAACTGTTAAAGAAAAATAAAGAGAAGGGCATGTAGAAACGGTGTTCTGATAAATGAACATATCCAGCAGAAGAAGTCTATGTTAACATTACTTCATCTAGAAATGCCTACAAGAATAAGTCCCAAAAGAGGCAACTGGACTTTCTGGTTGTTCTTTGAAGATGTTTCGCTTTTCATCCAAGAAGCTTTTTCAGCTCTTCAAAGAAAAACCAGAAAGTCCAGCTGCCTCTTGAAAAAAGCACCTTTGGGACATTCAAACTTCAGAATATTGGCAAAGTCTCCTAATTTGCTGAATGTAAACATGAAAGAAAAAGGGCCTTCCTTTGATATCTTTTTGAAATCAAGTCTTGATTGCTAAGATGATAGTATTTTATCACCAAGGATAATTATAAAATGACTATAAACTATTAGCTTGATGAAATCTATTCATTGGTATCATTCCACTAACAAACAACTATTATTTACACAAATTATTTTTGTATTAATATCAAATTTGGTACTTTAATTTTGTTTATAACAAATCATACCATAAACAGTTTTACAATTTGTTATATTTTGTTAACCAGATAATACTCAAGAGCAATTACACATTTTTTTAGAAGAACATGAAGCTATTTTCAAAAGTAGTGTAAAGGAGTATAATAAATAACAACAAAGGAGGAATACAAAAACTCCCAAAGGTGCTTTTTCAAGAGGCAACTGACTTTTTGGTTTTTCTTTTGAAGATATTTCACTTAGAAGCTTCTTGGATGAGAAGCAAAACATCTTCAAAAGAAAAAACAGAAAGTCCAGTTGCCTCTCAAAAAAGCACTTTTGGGACAACCACGACCTGAATGACTGAGAATCTCTATAGATGAATGCTAGAACTGTTAGGTAAACAAAACTTAACCTTGGGAAGGAAGAGAGGAAGAAAAGGAAAGAAAACCACTACTCTGATTTTCTTTGGTATAAGAGAGGACAAGGGAATATCCTAGCAGGCTTTCAAGAATCTGTTGTTATATCCTATAACAATAAAGTGGAATTCTGATAGCCCTTCAGTTGTCTGATCCTGGCCATCTTTGAAAAGCTGACATCATGTTTGAAAGTCTCACTACTTTATAATAGAACATTTTGGATAAAATGCTCGTTTGATATTTGAGGCATCCCACTGTCTGAAAGAAGAGCTACTGAAATTTGGTTACTGCATCAATGCCTTTCATTGATAGCAATGATCCATTAATGGACAATTACCAGATCTTCAGTCAAATATTAGACCTTTTGAAGATTCAGAAAAGAGAGCTACAGCAAATTGCCTCATGGCGAGATGGGCAGCAAACACATTTAATAAATAAATAAAATTCAGGAGTTTCACAAGCTAAAGCAGGTGATCACAGATTTCATGTGTATCCACCAGATTTCAATCATAAGATAGAAATATGGAACGGAATGATCTTATTATGATTGACCAGTTTGGGGAAGGACTTGATGAACTGAGAGAAGACTGGGGCAAGGCATACTATCAAAACGTTCTGTGGCATGTTTTTAATGTATGTATTTCTATAGCCACTCAATTCATTCAAGTGACTCTGGGTGTCTTACAATATTGATGGATGATTGAAAAAGAATGAGGAAAGAATATGGAATGTTTCATAGCCTCTCTGCATCCTTATCCCCCGCTCTGTGGATTTCTTAGATGCCAACACCTGAGAAGCCATACAAATAGGTTTTCCGTCCACAGCAGAAAAACAGAGAAGGAGAAAACACAGTTTGTATCTACTGTGGAGTTATAGGGCATCTAGCCAAGACTTGCACTGCTAAAGTACAGATCTCTGAATCAGTTATTAATTGCCACAACTGTGGGACAGTGGACTGTGTAGCAAGCTAATGCTGAAATCATCCCAGAGTATCATCTTTGGAGATCTTCATAGATTTTCCTCCCAAGATCTCAACAGAGAGCCTCAGGCAGTAAAAAGTTCAGACAACAACAGCGGACAAACTTATTTTATTTTTGTTACCCTTCGTACTCTCTCAGACTGAAAAATACAACTCTCCACCTTCTAGATTCAGGTGGACAGCGAATGTCAGAGATAAGATAATACTGCAGTTTAAACTGCTGACAAAGAGAAATGTTTATTTGTGGAAACAATTGACAGTCAAGCACTTTACCTGCTTTTATCGGGCAATGTACTTTTACAACTGATAATAAATGATCCTACAGAATTATTTCCATTCCATTTTATTACAACTTATTTACATGACCCTTTGATTGGGCTCAAAATAATGATCCAGGTGTCCACTAGCTGCAAGGGCCAATCAAAAGTGTGAACAGCATGTTTTTCAAAGTTCCTCTTCTTGCCTTCTTTACAGAACAGCTCTGGCAATCCTCTTCCTTACAAAAAGTGCATAGAGTTGGATGATACTTGGGAGAACAAGGAATTAACATTCCTTCTCTCTTTTTTTTTTACTGTAATAATTTTTACTAAACATTACAGTTAAAAAAACCTGCAAACAAGAAAAAAAAAGACAAAGTGCAGAACAACAGAAAAAATAATTTAGGAAGAAAAATATTTAAAAAATACAAATAAGAAAAAAAATAGAAATATAAAAAGAAGTTACTTCCCCATTTGTCAAAATCAGTATCAACAATTTTACCACTTTATCTTAAAATACAATGATGTCTTCCTCCCATGTCTCAATTCTTATCTATAAACAGATCCTTGAAATCTCATGATTCAGTCCTGGTCAGTAAAAGTCTA